TCACGTCTCCATCACCAAAATCCTATTGTTCGAGAGAGCGTGATCCACCGCCGCTTTACTGTGGAAAATTCCCCCCCTCTTCCTCCGGAACCCGGGCCCCCCACCCCCTCCGAAAATCCTCCCCTCCCCCCTGCTCGAACCCCCCCTCCCCCCCCCCCCACTTCCCCCGGCAAAACCCCTTCCCCCCTAACCCCTTCCCCCCCCCCTCCTGGAAGAAACCCAAGGGGAAACTACCAGTTCGAACTCCACCCCCCCTCGCCGCCAGCAAAAAGGCAAAGACTCCCGTGTCCCCACCACCGTCCTCACCACCGCCCTCACCAGTGTCACCACCACCACCGTCCCCACCACTGTCCCACTGTCCCCACTGTTCCCACCACTGTTCCCACCACTGTCCCCACTGTCCCCACTGTCCCCACCAATGCCCCCACCACCGTCGCATTGTCCCTACTGTCCCCGCCACTGTCCCCATCGCGGTCCCACTCACCCCATTGTCCCCAGTGTCCCCACCACTGTCCCACTGTTCCCACTGTCCCCACCACTGTCCCACAGTTCCCACTGTCCCCACCGCTGTCCCACTGTGCTGCACCACCGCCCTCACCACTGCCCCCACCACCACCGTCCCCACCACTGTCCCACTGTTCCCACTACTCTCCCCACTGTACCTCTGTCCCTTTGTCCCACCACCATCCTCACCACCGCCCTCACCACTGTCCCCACCACCACTGTCCTCACCACTGTTCCACTGTCCCCACCACTGTCTCAATGTCCCCTCACCACTGTCCTCACCACCACCGACCCCACCATTGTCCCACTGTCCCCACTGTCCCCACCACTGTCCCCACTTTCCCCACCAGTGCCCCCATCGCTGTCGCACTGTCCCCTCTGTCCCCACCATTGTCCCCACCACGATCCCACTCTCCCCACTGTCCCAATTGTTCCCACCATTGTCCCACTGTCCCCGTCCCCACCACTGTCCCACTGTTCCCACTGTCCCCACCGCTGTCCCACGTGCTGCCCCACTGTCCACACTGTCCCCACCACTGTCCCGCTGTCCCCACTGTCCCCACCACTCCCCACTGTACCACTGTCCCACCACCGTCCTAACCACCGCCCTCACCCCTGTCCACACCACCGTCCCCACCACTGTCCCACTGCTGTCCCCACCACCACCGTCCCCACCACTGTCCAACTGTCTCCATGGCCCCCACCACTGTCCCACAGTCCCCAGTCCCCACCTCTGTCCCCACTGTCCCCGCCAGTGCCCCAACCACTGTCGCACTGCCCCCACTGTTCCCAAAACTGTTCCCACCACGGTCCCACTCTTCCCAATCCTCACTCCCCACCACCATCCCCACCACCGTCCCAACCACTGTTCCCACCAGTCTCCCATCCGGAGTGGGAGAGAACGGGGAGTCGCTGCGGCGAGGGGGGAGGGGGGGGAGGGGGTTCGAACCGGAAGTGACCCACCCTGGTCTGGTTTTCCTGGAGCGGGGGGGGGCTGGAGGGGGGGGGGGAGGGGTTCGCACCGGTAGTGACCCCCCCTTTTCATGATTGACCGGGGGGGGAGGGGAGGGGGGGTGGAACCCCCCAGTGAGCCCCCCCGGTTTTCGAGAGGGGGGGGGGACGGGTTGGGAACCCCTGGTGAACCCCCCCCACCTGGTTTTCCGCCAGCAACAGTAGAACACGCTCGTTCTAATGTTCTAATGTTGGGGCCATCTCCCTGCGGGCGAGGAGGGCCCGACGAAACAAGGCGCAATCAGGTAGCGCTGCAGTGCTGCGAGGCGTGGGAGCACAGAGCCAAGTATAGAACTGAGAGGCGCACCTCCAATAGATCCGCGCCGTAAGGAAACACAATAACGCGGCTTGACAAGAGTGGAGAATGACGAAACGCGAAGTTAGTCTGCAACGTGAAATGGTATAGATTAGTCTGGCGCTATGAAAGCTAGCTTGGCGCAGCGCGGCTGTCCTCTTCCCCCCTAGTCTCGTCCAAATCCCAACGAGCTCCCTCCCTCCACAAGGCACTGCGCTGATGTGGCTGAAGGTAGGCATGAGTGGGCTGGCCATCATTGTTATTCAAATTGTGTGCGCCGAAACCGGAGGGATCCACAAACCTGGTAAGGAACTGGAGTCAAAATCTATTCTAAAGCGCGTGCGACACTTTCCCTTTGCTTGCCTGCAGCCGCTACTGCCTGCACGTCCTGCTTGTCCTCCTCCTCCTCCTGCTCCTCCTGCTCATGCTGATCTTCCTGCTCATGCTCCTCCTCCTCCTCCTGTTCCTTCACCTCCTCCTCCTCCTCCTCCTCCTCCCTCTCTTTCTCCAATTCCTCCTCCTTCCTCCTCCTTCCTCCTCTTTCCTCAGTTCTCCTTCCCTCGTCCTCCTCCTCGTCTTGCGTCCATCTTCCTCCTCCTCCTCCTCATCGTCTTCCCCCTCCTGCACGGCGACGCCTGGCCTGTCCCCTGTTAATAAGGCGCATGTTGGCCCGCGCCCCTTTCGCGCACGCGCACGTATTTTCACGTGCGGCGGGTTTTCCACCCCCGAGTTGGGTCCCTCGCCTGCGGCCCCGTCGCGGCCCGAAACGCGTGACCACAGCATTTGAAGAGAGGGTGCTCGAGCGCGAACTTGCGCGGGCAACTTACGCGCCAGTGTCGGCACCATCGACCCCGATTCTTCGCGTCGCTCACTTGGGCCCGTGGCTGCCGGCCCGTGAGCCCCCCCCCCGGCCCCGGGAGTGCCACACGCGGTGGTCTCTGCTGCTCACGTGCCCCGTCGCCGGGGCCCTTGACGAAGCTGTGCTCCCGATGGCTGCCAGCCGTTGCCACGATGACCACGGCCTCCCCCTCCTCCTCGCATTCCGCTGCCACTGCCCGCCCCTGACGGAGCGGCGAGCTCTCTTTTTTAAGGAGCGCTCGCCGCTCCGCCAGAAAGAGAGAGAGAGAGAGAGGCCACAACAACACAACAACACAAGACGAGAAGAGAGAAAGAGATAAACAAACAAGAGGATAATATATAGAGAGAGCGAGAGATAACAACAACAACAGCAACAACAACAACAACACCAACAACAACAACAACAACAACCACAACCACAACCACAACACCAACAACAACACCAACAACAACAACAACAACAACAACCACAACACCAACAACAACACCACCACCAACAACAACAACAACACCAACGACAACAACAACACCACCAACAACAACAACACCAACAACAACAACCACAACCACAACCACAACAGCAACCACAACAACACCAAACAACAACAGCAACAACAACAACAACAGCAGCACCACCAACAACAACAACAACAACAACAACAACAACAACAACAACAATTACTAGCACGTGGGGACACTCCGTTCTCACCAGTGCCAGGGTTTTCATAGGAGGCGGGCAATACCCCCACTTTGTGGGGGGGCCGGTTCAAGCTCTACCAAATTTCCAAACGACTCTTCGCCACCACCCACACCCAGCTTCCCGCCCTATGACGTTCGGACACTTCACTTCGTGGCATGCGGACGACCGTGGCTACTATTCAGGGCCCCGCGGCCGACGACGACGGCGTGCGCGCGCGAAGAAAAAACGAATGTGTCCCGCATGGTATTATTTGACAGGGATGATGGCCCTGGCAGGTGCGCAACCGTTGTTGCAGAAGTTCGAAAAAGTTGCTCGCAAAAGCCCGTTTGACAGAAATGTTTAAAAAGTGTTGGGTTTCCTACGAATCCGCAAGAGCGCGCGGGATGAAATTTTGACATTTTTTTTAAAAAAAAAAACCATTGGTTTTTGATGTTTTTATGTTAAAATCGCTACGAAAACTAAGGTTTTGGAAGGATTTCGTCTTGCGCGCGCGAATGTCCACTTTACCTTATTTTTTGCAAGGGATTCTTGAAGTTTGGTTATGTTAGAACAAGAAATGTCCACTTTAGCTTATTTTTTGCAAGGGAAAGCGGCCGTAACAAAACAACCGGATCCGGACCAACCCGTTTTGCCTGAGACTTCCTCACGAAAATGATGAAAATGAGGCTGCGGCCTAGGCGCGGCGGGGGGGTCGTGCACCAGGGGTCCCAACAATAATTATTCTTTAGAAGTAATAATGTTCAACAACAACAACAACAACAGCAACAACAACACCAACAACAACAACACCAACACCACCAACAACAACAACAACAACAACGACCACAATCACAACCACAACAACAACCACAACAACACCAAACAACAACAGCAGCAACAACAACAACACCAGCAGCAACAACAACAACAAACAACATGAGCAGAGGGGGCGAGCGCGGGCGGGCAAGTGCGATGCTGGGCCTCAGAAGCAAGCCGCACCTCCAGCAGCGAGCGGCCGAACCACCGCGATCCGCCCCCGCACGCGGTGTCTCCTGCCTGTGCCGTCGAAGCGCGCAGTTTGGCCACGAGCAGCCCCCGTCCGCAGTACCATCCAGAACCGCAACCTGGAGGAAGAGCTCCCGCCAGCGCCGAAGGCCAGGAGGAGCAGCAGCCGCAGCGAGGAGGAGGACGGCGACGACGAGGACGACGACGACGAGCAAGAAAAACAACAAGAGAAACGGGAGGACTTCCGCGACTTTCGCCGGCTTGGCTGACTGTGGACGAAGCGGGAGAAGGAGGAGGAGGAGGAGGAAGAAGAATCAGAAGGATATCTGCAGAGATGAAGATGACGAGTAAGACACTGGTTAGGGCTAGGAAGCAACAGCAGCGAAGAAGAGGAGCATGAGGAGGATGCGGAGCAAGAGGAGGAGGAGCAGAAGAAGAAGAAGAAGAAAAAGAAAGAAGAAGAGGACGAGCCGGAGGAATGACACCACCAGCAGAAGCAGCAGCAGCAGCAGGAGCAGCATCAGGACGAGGAGTACGAGGAGCACGAGGAGGGATCAGATGAGCATCGGTGGGCGGTCGGTTACCTTCCCCCAGGCACGCGGAGGCTCCTAAGATCCGACGCTGCAGCACAATTGCAGCATCGCCCGAGATCACGACTGGCGCCCTGGTCCTCGTTTTGCTGCGTCATGATTTGAGCAGGGACGGACCGTCCCGGCATTTCCAGAGGCCTACCACGATATGCTCTTACAACCCCCAAATGTTCAAATAACAGAAACCATGTTCTTAGAACATAAGCCCGATGAGTTAAAACAAGGCAGCCTCAGTCAGAAATGTTCTAAGAACATGTTGTGCAGACCACGAAAGGTTCTTAGAACATTCTTTGGTGGGCCTATAGGCGAACCAGGACGCTTCACCACTGCTTGAATTCTTCGGGCCGGATCGATCGGTGAACGTCCCAGGGCCCGAAACTGGGCGAAAACGCATGGCGCGACAAGAGTTGCAGTGCCCGGCTCTCGGGGCAGGCACGCTGTGGCCCCCAGCCGCGTGGGGCCCCCTCCCGCTCGGACGTGCCGGCCGTGCCTGCAGGTCGTTGCAGGTGCACAGGAAGAGCACCTTCGCTCTCCGCGCCGCGGGCCGCCCGCACGTGTGCTCCTCCCCCTCCCCTCCCCTCCCCCTCCCCCTCCCCCTCCCTCCCCCTCCCCTCCTCCTCTCCTTTCCTCTTTTCTCCTCCTCTTCTTTTTCCTCCTCCTCCTCTTCCTCCTCCTCCTCCTCCTCCTCCTCCCCCTCCTCTTCCTCCTCCTCCTTCCCGCCTCCCACTGGCGGACTCACGGGCTCCCTCCTCGCCCTGCTCCCGGAGGAGCAGAAATCGGCACAGACATGAGCTATCGGAGCTCCCGAAGTTTATGTTTATGTCCCCGCCCCCGGAGCCCACATCCCTCCAAGGGCCTCGGAGTCTAGGGACCAGGAGTCAAGGGCCTTGGTTTCTAGGGCCCAGGAATGTAGGGCCCAGGCGGAGGAAGAAACGACGAAACGAAAAACAAAACGAACGCCGGGAAGAATGGCCAAGGCGACAGCCGACAGAAACGAAACCAAAAAACGAAACGAACACCCGATCGACGGCTAAGGCTACGGCAAAGGCTGATTCCAGCGTGGGTCTGTTAGTATAGAGAGGGTCATGAAACAAACGTTGCGACACATATTCTGCGTATCTGTGCATATGCGGTCTGGCAAATCGGGGCGGCATCATCGCGACGCCAAGGGGCGTCGCGGACTCGAGCCTTTGGCCTGGAAGCACGAAACGCACGATTACCCATATCACGAAGTTCTGCAACCAGTCACTGTGTTCTGGGGGTGCACGGACACGCAAAACACTGTTCAGCTAATCGTTAGCTGGCGCCCGCCTCGAACTCATGCCCCACCCCCCGCCTCTTCCAAATATCCATTCGCTGTGGCCCCGCCCTCCTCATGCCCTCCGACTGCCCCGGTCCTCATCGTGCCCTTCATCCACACTGCTCCCCCCCATGTGCCAATTCACGTCGTTCCTCGTCGTCCTCCTGCGCTGGATTCGTTCCTCCATCGTCTACATGCCCGCCCTCCTCCCATCCTCTACGCCCTAATGCACATCATGCCCCCAACTTCTGCCCCCCCCCGCCTCCCTCGCCCTCGTGATGCTGACACCGATGATGCAGATCCTCCTGGGCTCATTTCCTCCGCTCTCGTCCAGTCCCGCTCATCCTTGGCCCCTCGGCCCCCCCCCATCGAACCCCTTCCTTCCCACAGCCCACCATCCACACACACCCGCGCCTTTGCATGCCCAGACCACGGCCCCCTCCTGGACCAGCCGGGAGACCCGCGGAAACTCCCGCCCATAGACCACTCCAGCGAACGGCGCGCAACAAATGCACAGTTGGAGACACGAACTGTGTATTTCGACCGCGCACGACGCTCCCCCTGGACCAGCCGGAAGAGAAACGCGAAAGTTCCCGCCCATTCAACACCACCCGCGAGGGGCACACTCCAAATACACAGATGGGAACGAGATCTGTGTACACAGATCACACCACGATCTGTGTAAACAGCGGGCCCACACACGAAAATACACAGTTGAAGACACAAACTGTGTACACAGATCACACCTTGATCTGTGTATTTCGAAAAGGTAAACGCTTGCCACCTCGAGGGCGCCCCGACTTTGCCAGCCCAGAACCGAGGTTGACATGCCCAGTTGGGGGGGAATGCGAATACACACTTTCCCGGCCCAGGGCGCCCCCGAGAGAACCGCAAATACACGCTTCTGTGGCCCAGGGCGGCCGCGGTGCAACGCGGCGCCAAAGCGGCCCCCAACGGCCCGAAGACGCCCCAAAAAGGCCTCGAAGGACCACGAAGAATGCCGCGCAGCAGTCCGAAAACACGAGAGATGTCACATGTCACGGACCTCTTAACAGTCAAAGTTCCACGCGTCGCCATATAGACCACTGCTCCGGCAGGGGGGCGGACCTTGCCGTAGGCACTTATAATTTACGTGTTAGCGATGCGACTGTGCTCGGCGGCCGTGCCGCCCGCATTTTGGGTGCGCCCCGAATTCTCGCATTGGCAATCCCCTCTGTTTGGTTGCGCCGCTGTGCTCGGATATCGAAAAAGCATTTACCGCTGACGCGGGCACGCGGCACCAGGGACTTCATTTTTCGAACAAGGAGGGCGGGCGAGGTAGGACTACGGACGGTGGAGCAGGGAGGCAAAGAGGAACGAGGAATAATAAGGCAGGTGGGAAGGGGCGCTCCCCCGCCCGAGCCGCGGACGCTTTCGACACCATCCAGGGGAGGGAAGAAAGGAAGGGAAACGGAGCAAGGGCGAGGACGACGACGGGAAGCAAGTGTCCCGGGTCCGCATATAACCATATGTCTGCGACTCGGGTGCGCGCGCTTTCTTCGAGGCACTTCAAGCCGGACCCATGCTGAATTCACTATTTCCTCAAAGCTGTGTAAACACTCTGTCCTCTGTTCCCTCTCCTATACAACGGCCTCATAACAGAGGGGCAGTGGATTCCAAGCTGGGACCCAGGCTGAAGATCAGGCCAGGAGCGCAACAACAAGAAGGGGAGGATGCAATAAACGACAAACGAAACGAACGCCCGGAAATTATGGCCAGGCCGAGGGGCGACAGAAACGACATGAAAAACGAAACGAAAAACGTAACTAAACGAACGCCCAGAACTACGGCTGGGGCTACGGCAGAGGCTGGGGCACACGTTGAAGCTCTGGTCAGAACTGCAACACAAGATCAGGAAAAAAAAAAACGATACGAAACGAATACCCAAACATTACGGCTCAAACGAAAAGAAGATGATGGCTCGGCCTCGGGCCACGGAAACCGAAAAACAACACCAACAACAAAACGAAAAACGAAACGAAATATGAAACAACAAACGGAACTAATTCCTACTACATACATGCAATCAGTAAATCGAGAGGCGACGGCGGCGCAAACGAAACGAACAACGAAACGCTGGGGCCTTCGGTGGAACTCCCCATGGGGCCAAGAAACGTGGGAGCGGTGTGCCGAAACGCGCGCGGGGCCGCCATGCGAACCCTGCCGCTGGGGCCTTCGGTGGAATTCCCCATGGGGCCACGAAGCGTGTGAGGGATAGGCCGTAGTGTCACCGATGATGGTGGTAGTGCTGATGCTGACGCCCATGAAGCTGATGATGATGTGCTAGGACGGATGATGATGATGATGATGATGATGGTGGTGATAGTACTGGTGATGATGATGCTGCTGCTGCTGCTGCTGATGATTATGATTACGAACATGATGATGAGTATGACCATGATGATGACGACGATGATGATGCTGCTCTCGTTGCCTGCTATAAACGAGGCGGACCTCCAGCAGCCCCAAGCCCGCAGCCAGGTTTAGCCCAGGCTTGCTTCACGAACTCTCCGAGTCTGAATGTTCTACACTCGATTCCCCAACGCTTCCATTGGGTGCGGTTCTGCGCCAGTTCTGTCCAATCTGAATTGTAGTGCTTGAAAAAGAAAATTGTGAACGGCTGTTCAACATTGCTCCGGGGGCATAATTTGCCAACGTCCCCAGGCCTCTGAAATATGTGTTGTCTATTTACGTTCGCGAGGCCGTCGGCGTGCCCCGTTCCACAGAAGCACCCTGCTCAACGGAGCGTGGGCTTCCCGCGCGGCCTGCCGACCAGCGCGGCGCACGAGCCGACGCTGAGGCGCCAGGATGCGCAGACTGTCCGTGGACGTGCGGAGGTCCCTCCTCAGTCGACGCTGGCGCCGTTCGTCCGCGTCGCCGCGCTCTCGCGGCAACCTCCACACACGTCGCAGCCCTCTGTTCTGGGCCCCCGTGGACATCTTCATTTGCACTCGGCCGAGGGCCCAAGTCCTGCAGTCCACGGCGCACCTCTACATCCAGTGCGGGAGACCAGCTGGAGCCTCTGAGCTCTGGGCGTGGTCCGCCCAGACAAACTATGGTGGGCCTGCCCTACTGCAGTGTACTCCAAGCGATTCCGTCTGGATGTCCCGCGCGAGGCTACCGAAAGAATTCACGCGCGCATCTACGAGCCGCCGGGGGTCCGATTGCTGCACGAATTGCGCCTCTGGCCAATCGTCTCGCTGCTCCTGAAGGCTCCGCGAAAACCACTAAGACTCCGTCGCCGGGAAGGCCCGCCCGTGGGTCTGAAGTCTGTCCTGCAGGACGCAAGACAGCGATGATCTCGCGGACATGTGCCACTGGGGTCCCAAATACCTGCAAGTTGTCAATGAAGACGAGGAACAGCACGAAGAACGAAACACAAGCTCCGCACAATACTTTCCCATGGGGCTGGCACCAGGAAATAAGCGCCGAGCCAACTCCCAATCGGCGGCGCTGGCACTCGTCCCAGATAGGCTGCAAGCAACCCTCCAACGTAATTGCGACAGCAAAACGGGCCCATGTCGCCCCTTGCGGGAGCGACCGGGTGATGCGTTTGATGAACCCCGTTGCGATGCCATGCGGATCGACCGTAAATGGCGCACGAAAGATGCCGCGTAAACTGGAGGCACGGCGCGCATCTGGAACGCCTCGATGAAACACCTGTGCTGCGTGAAGTCGCAGGCCTTTGCGACGTCCGCGCTGGCGAAGCAGAACCCGAGCTTAACTGGATAAGATTTGTGTGCCAATATCTGAATTGCGAAGACATGGTGGATGACTCAATGTCCAGGTCGATACGCGAACTGCCACGAGCCACGCTGTTGCAGCTGCTCCTTGCAATGGTCCAACGCGACGTTGCCCAGCTGCTTGTCAAGGCGCGGCACCACCGTCAGTGGCCGGAGCTTGGCGAGCCGATTGCAACTACCTCTGGCGCGAGCGCGACGTCCGCCGCAGAGTCCGGAGCGCCCAATTGAATCGCCCAGAGCTGGCCTCGGCAACGCCGAGGCACATCATCTGCACGCGCTCGTTTCGAAGGCCTGCGCGCAATCGCCCGACCCATAGGCCCGTCCAGTCGAAGAGACCCCGGGTGGCAGCCCATGGCTTGTACATGACAGCGTTGCAAGTTGTGGGCCGCGGACTCCCCCTCCAGCTTGGTCGAGGCCCGTCTGGCTCGCACAGCGAACAGCGGTGCGCGAAGCCACTGGCGGAGCCATCGACCGCTGCGCAACTGTCGACGCCATCGTTCGCGAGACGATCAACCACTGCATTGAAGCTCCGTTTGACGCGGTGGCCGACTCCGACGCGGCGCAGCTGGGTCGCGCCGCGGCCGTCTACACGCGCGCCCAGTGAGAGGCGGAGGGGGCAATTCTCCGAGCGCGCCCATCATCCCGCGATTTGCTTCGCCCCCGCGTCGTTGCCCCCTCCAATCGCCAGATCCAGGGGCCCCGACGCCGCGCAGACGCCCGGGCCGGATAATAGCCCGCGCCGTTCGGCATCGCACTTGGAACAGCTCTGGGCCACGCGAAAACTGAATGCGTATACTTCTGCCCCGTCGGGGTCGCAGACAACGAATCCGGCGCCTGCGTCGCGGGCCCCCCCCCCGGCCCCGTCGAACTGCAGCAGATGCTTCCCGCCGGAATCCCCTGGCCACGAGGGCCATGGACAAGTGAAGACGCGGGGGGAGGTGACGGGCAAGTTGAAGACGACGACGGCGCATCTTCCCAGGAACCTCCCCGCGGGCCCCACCATATACGCCTGGCGTCTGAAGCTGCGACGCAATCGCCCGCGCGCGATTACCCCCCCGAGGCACTCCTGAAATCGCGGGCCGCGCATCTGCGAGGGGCGCGTGGAGCGCCCGGGAGGGCGTCGCTGATCCAAAAGGGGGCCTGGCCCGTCGCGGAGCCGGCGGAACGGGGCGGAGCATTGAAGAACTCGCGGCGCGCAACGCCAATCTCTGCGTCGCCCGCCGAGGCCGCCCGAGTGGAAGGGGCCCTAGAGACGCGCGGTGCCGGCTCCCTTCCGGCGACGTTTCCCCAGCCCCCCGCGCGGAGGTGCCTCTGAATCTGCCGGCCCTGCGCCTCGCCCTTCGCGGCCTGAAGGTGCACGCGCCCCTGCCGCGCCCTGCAAGCGCGCGCCTCCTTGCTGGAGAAGTCGGGCGCTACGCGCCATGCCCTCTCGAGTCGATGGAGATGGGCGCGGTCCGCGCGAGCCTGCTGCCGCCGGGGCCTCCGCGCGCCGCATCTCGTTCCAGCCTCCCCGGTGATGTTGGAGACCCCTGCGAAGCATTGTTCGTCATGCAATATATTGGCGACCTCGGCGCAGTAGCCCTGTATGTATTGCACCTCTGATATTCGAATTCTGCTGCAGTGCCATCGCGTGGTCCGTTTAGTGCGCATTCCTGCACGCGGCGCGAGATGGTCCGCCCCAGTTGCGGACGACTGGACATTCTTTCAAGGTTCCGAAAGGCCGCGCTGATCCGGAATGGCGACGACGCAATCGATGTAAGCTCCGCGCCCGTTCGAGTCGAAACGGGTTGCCTTGCCGATTCCGAAAAAGGCACTGGCCAGCACTAGGGAGCGGCCGGCGCACTCTTGCAAGAACTGAGCTCCACGCTGCTGGCGAACGCCCGCAGCGAAAGGACCGACTATCATCATGTCAGCGTCGGTCTCGATCTCTCCCACCTCGCAATATGCGTCCGCACCTATGCATAGCACTTCCCCTTGCTAGAGCTCCGCGTCGACCTCGTCCATGACAGCGGCGAGGCATGCATCGAGGCATTCCTGATTCGCCTGCTGGGGCAAATGCGCGGAGATGAAGAAGAAGTTGTGAGCAGACAGCCGGGCGTGAACTCGCTGCAGGCGGTGGCTTGTTGGCGGCTGCACTTCAGGGACATTGAAGTTGGAATTCCTGGCACAACCCCGCGCACCTCCATCAGCAGGTGCCGAACTTACTACACGACTGATGATCTCTCTGCACAAGCCCTCCTCGGTAGCATTGACCTCCCGGAGCAGCAAGACGCCCCACTGCCACCTGAAGTCCTGGAGAAAAGGATTCTCGTTGAAAAGCGGCTACCCCACCGCAGCTCAATGAAACGACGATGATGTGCTCAATTTTCTTCCCGGGGCGCGATGCTCCAGCATCGCCTCTTGCTCTTCTGGCTGCTTGGCGAACGGCGACAACGCTTCGCAGCGTCATTCTTGGTCATTTCGTAAGCCGCATGGACCTGTTTCGTGGTCACGCTGATGATGTTCGGGGCTCGGGGGGGAGTTCTCCGAGCGAGTGTCCAATGTGCCGTCGCCCTCGTCGCACATGGACGCGAGCGGTTTCTTGTTGCACACCACTCCCCAGAAGGTAGGTTTCCAGACGCGCGCGTACTTCAGGTGAACGTCGAAAGTCCGCATGGCCTCGAAAATCCTCGTGGTTCACGGCTACTGTCGCCCGCTGCTCTGGTGTCTGGTGTTTCTCGCACCACACCTGCGATTCTTGATGATCCACCGAGGTAAATCCAATGCAACCTTTGGCTTCGCCCTCGTTGCTCACGAGCATCCGCCACTCCGCGACGAAGTCCTGGATTATATCGTCGTCACTGAAAACACCTGTGCCGTGATTGCTGGCCGTGGGTGCCCAAATGGTCTGGACGCTGTCCTTGTGGCCGACCTTCACCAACACCTGGACAATCACTGCCTTGATATCCTGTTCTTCGGACCACTCGGAGAAATCTCCCACGACAAGTTTCTGGCATCCACTTCATGACGCCATCGAGGATAGTCCGGCCGAGCCACGGCCACCTGGTCCTTTTCCTTGTTCCATCTCCTTCGCCTCCTTTGCCACCCGGAGGGCTTCCTCCGCCCTGTCGTTGTTCATTGCCTTGACGTCCTCTTTCACCACGTCCAATCTCTCTCCGTGGTCGTCTGCTGGAAGTTCTGATTATGCTTCATCGACTTCGAGATGAGCTTTTACAAGTCCTTCATAGTGGGCTCAGGTTCCTGCTCCATCGCCTCCAATTCCATCCCGGCGTCCTCAACCTGAGCCTTCTTCGCACCATCAGCGCTGCCGACACCAGCCATCGTGTGCGGCTGTGTGTGACGAGTGTGTGATGTGATGGTCAGATAAGGATGTGCGTTGCTCCTTGTGCCTTGCTGCTTGTGCCTTGCTGCTTGAGTCAATGGCTTGAGCCAAAATGTCTTGAGCCAGAATGGCTTGAGCCAATGGCTATGATGATGAGAATGGTAGCGATCACGATGACGATGGTGATGGTGATGATGATGATGACGATACTGATGATGATGTTGATGTCGGATGATGACGGCGATGATGATGAAATCCGCCCGATCCGGCGTGTGAGTTTCAAGGAGTCTCAGCTACAGCCTCGAGGCTGAGCCTCAGCCTCTGGGGGGGTTGCCGGGGTGGCTCTGCCGGGGAAGGGGGGGTGGGGGCGGGGGTACGAGTTTTCCGGCGGTCGCGGGGGGCTGCTTTTACAGAAGGCTCTAATCTCGAGGATGCGCTAAAAGGGTGGCCGCGGCCGCAAAAGTCTCTGAGGACGGTCTAAGAAAGTCCCGAGACCCCGAAAGATCGCCCGAACACGCCCAAGATGGTCCCAAGACGGCCCAAGAGCCTTCCAAGACGTCTGAAGAGGCCTCCAAGAGGCCTCCCACGAGGGCCCCCAGAGGCAAACATCGTTGGTTTCCATTGGTTTTTTTCATGTGTTTGGGGTTGTCGCTTTTTTCGGCTTTCCGACGCTCCAAGACGGCCCAAGAGGCCCCCAAGACCGCTCGAAGACGGCTCAGTAGGTCCCCAGACAGTCCCAAGACGGCCCAAGAGGGCCCCAAGGCGGCCCAAGAGCCGCCCAAGACGGCCCCCAAGACGGCCCCAAGAGGACCCAAAGGAGGGACGAAAAGCGGAAACAAATCTAGCCTTCCAGCCCACGAGGCCCCCAGGAGGCCCCAAGAGCCCCCAAGAGGGTCCCCAAAAGCCCCCAAGAAGCCCCCACGACGCCCTGACAGGCTCCTGTGCGAGTGTCTGTGTGTGGTGCGTGTCTGCGAATGTCTGTGCGTGCTAGTGTCTGGCGTGCGCCTAGTGTGTCTCTGTATGTGTGTCTGCCGTATGTGCATTTGGTCGTGTGCGTGCGTGAGGTGTCCGCGTAATATGTGTATCCGAGCGACCCGGATCGGCGGCACTGGCCGAAGGCCACAACAATATGATGGTGATGATGATGATGATGATGGTGATGATGATGGTGATGGTGATGACGACGATGACGATGACGATCACGATGACGATGACGACGATGATGAAGCTGATGACGATGATGAAGATGATGATGATGATGCTGATGATGATGATGATGATGATGATCGAGATGATGATGGCGATGAAGATGAAGATGAATATGATGACGATGATGATGACGAAAATAGTGGTGATGATCCAGGTGAGATTGATGCTGCTTGTGCTGATGATGATACTGGTGTTGCTGATGATGCTGATGCTGATGATGGGCATTAGTAATGAACGCTGTTGAGTATGATGATGATGAAGATGATGCTGATGATGATGATGATGATGATGATGATGATGATGATGGTGATGGTGATGGTGATGGTGATGGCGATGGTGATGATGGTCATGATGATGACGTTGTTGATGATGGTGATGATGTTGGTGATGATGATGACGATGGATGGCGGGTGATAATGTATGATGATGGGTGATGATAAATGAGAACTGCGAGGAGGGAGGATGGGAGGCGAGGAGGCGCGGGGCACTGCTGATTCACAAAAGATGATTGCGGAAAAACGAAAACCACAACACAAGGAACTAGACATTGCACGCGCAGCGAGAACAGCGAAAAGAGAGAACGAGTGTCTTGTTTGTAAGGTTTCTATGCTTCGTAACTTCCAGGGGGAGAAGCTGCGCTTGTTGCTTGTTCGATTGCTCGGCTTATTGCTCGATTCTTCAAGCATATCATACAGTAGTGTTCGGCTCTTCTCGTTGGCCAAAACACCCCACACACCCTCTCCTCATCCGTCTCCCCCCTCCTCCTCCAGCAGCACCCCGCTTGAATGTGTATGATCACTACTCGCCGACTTCCACTGGAATGTGTTGTGTTCGTTGTTTCACACATGCACCCCATGCACATGCATGCGCCGTGGGCGCGCCTTCGATAGATCGAAGGGGGTGTTCAGGTAATGGTCCTCCGGTGGCAGCGGTACAGGTGAAGGCAGCGCGGCGGCGGCGATGGCAGCGGCGGTCCCGCAGCGGCGGCGGCGGCGGCGAAGACCAAGGCGAAGGCCATGCGGCGGTGGAGGCCAGACGGCAGAAGCGGCGGTTGCGGTGGCGTCGGTGTCGGCGGCAGTGGCAGCTTCGACGCCAGCAGAAGCGGCGGTGGTGGTGATCCAGCGTCGGCGGCGACGTGTTTCGGCTTTCGCCGATGCCTGCTGTCCTCCTTCCTCTCATCCTCCTCCTTTTCTCCTCCTCCTCCTCCCTCATCCTCGTCCTCCTCCTCATTCCATTCCTCGTCCTTCTCGTCCTCACCCCGATTCTCTTCCTCCTCCTCCTCCTCCTCCTCCTCCTCCTCCTTCGCCTCTTCATCCCTTGCCTCCTTCTCCTCCACGCATCCATCTCCTCTGCATCCTCCCCCCTCCGCAACATCCGCTCATTCCTCCCCCTCCTCCTCCCCCATCCGCAACACTACCACCATCATCACCACCACCATCATCATCATCAACAACAGCATCAGCATCAACATCATCATCACCATCATCATCATCATCAGCATCTTCATCATCAGCAGCAGCAGCATCACCAATCATCATCAACATGACCATCATTACGGCGTAAGTGATATTATGATCTTCATCAGCACCAGCATCAGCATCAGCACCATCATCGCCACATTCACAAACAACAGCAACAACCACAACAACACCACCACCAACAATAGCAACAACAACAGCAGCAACAACAACAGCAACACTGTACACCAACAAAAACGACGACTACGGCACCACCAGCAGCAACAGCAGCAGTAACAGCAACAATAACCACAACACCACCAACAACAACACCAAGAACGACAGCCTCATCAACATCAGCATCAACAGCACAATCCTTATCACATTATCATCAGCAGCGTCAACATCAGCATCATAATCAGCATCCGCATCAGCATCATCATCATTTTCATCATCGTCATCATCATCGGTAACATCATGAACACCCTCCTTCTCACCTTCGCTCTCATCATCATCATCATCATCATCATCATCATCATCATCGTCATCGCCATCATCCTCGCCCTCATGATCATGATCATGATCACATAATCATCAGCATCATCATTATCATCATCCTCAGTACCATCATCGTGATCACAAACATCATCGTCACCATCACCATCATCATCATCGCCACCAGCAACATCACCATCAACACAACCATCACCACCACCACCATTATCACCAGCAGCATCATCAGCGTCATCAGCATCCTTAGTAGCATTATCAACACCATCGGTTACAATTCCCCTCCCCCCCTCCGCCTGCATCCTCCTCATCATCCCCCTTTGCCTCAGTCTCATCCTCATCCTCACCACCACCAGCACTATTCCTCGTCATCCTGACTCCCCTTTGTACTCGTACCGCCTTAACTCCTCCTCCTCCTCCTCCTCCTCCTCCTCCTCCTCTTCCTCCTCCGTCCTCTGTTCTTCCCTCCTCTCTTCCCCCCACCCGTCCCCTACCTAGCCTGCTTCCTCCTCCTCCTCCTCCTCCTCCTCCTCCTCCTCCTCCTCCTCAATTCCTTTTTCTCATAAGTTCGCCGGCCCAACGGGCCAGAGGCGTGCTAAAATCTCCGGTAACAAGTTTGCACTGCACATGCGTAATTCGCGCCCGCGGGGCGGCCCCTGGGGGTCCCTGGATGGCAGCCCGGGCAACTCCCCCAGAGCGGTGCAGGAGCGCGCCAAGAGGGCCCCAAGAGGCCCTCAAGACGGACCAAGAGGGTTCCGAGTCGCCGGAAGTCGCTCCAAGATGCCCAAGATAGCCTCCAGACGGCCCCGAACGCCTCCAAGACGCCCGAAGATGCCTTCAAGGCATCTCTCCAGAGGCCCCCAAGATGCAACAATTAATGATTTCCCCTCGGTCTTTGCCAGATTGGGGCGTTCCCGCCTTTTCGCCTAACCAGCGATCCACGACGGCCCCCAAAGCGCCCCAACATCGCCCCAACACGGCCCACAACGCCCCCAGGAGCGCCCCACAACGATCCCCCTAGGGCCCCAAGACAGCCCCAGAAGCCCCCCAAGGTGCCCCGAGAGGCCCCCCAGACGGCTCCGAGGGCGGGCCCCGACGGGGGAACGGAACGGACATCTCGAGGCGCCGTGGGCCCCGAGAGGCCCCCGGGGAAGCCCCAGCAGGCCCCCCAGGGAGGCCCCCCAGGGAGGCCCCCGAGAGGGGCCCCGAGGGGCCCCCCGGGAGGCCCCCGAACGGGCCCCCACGAGGCCCTCGCGAGGAGGCCCCGACAGCGCCGCCCGGAGGCCCCCCAGAGGCTTCCCGAGGGGGCGTCGCCGGCCGCCCATCGCGGGCCGCGCCGGGCCTCCGCGGGCCGCGTTCCTGCGAGCAAAAAGCCCTCGGCGCAGTGGCCCGCGCTCGCCCCCGCTGCTCTTCCGCTCCCCCCCCCCGCTGCCTCCGGCTCCTCTCTCCGCTGCGCCCCCTGGTGGCACTGCAGCCTCCTCCTTCCCTCCACTGCAGCAGCACACGCTCCCATCTTCCGCCTCATCCTCCTCCTCCTCCTCCTCCTCCTCCTCCTCCTCCTCCTCCTCCTCCTCCTCCTCCTCCTCCACCTGCTCCTCCTTTGCCGGCCCCCACGCTGTCCCCCCTCTACGCTGCTACCACCCCCTTCCCTCTAGCTCGCCGAGAGGAAGGAGGGATGAAGTAGAGAGGGGGAGAAATTAGGAAGGAGTATAACCAAAAGAACGTGTCCCTTCACACCCGCTTCCGCAACGACAGAGGCCATCAGGACGAACAGAAAGCCAATGTTCGCAGTCAAAGCCCGCCACCCTCCGACACGAGGGTTCCATCATCGCATAAGATGTCTCTTCCCCCGAGTCCAACGGCCCCAAAGTGAGCATCCACAGGCAACACGCCCCCAAGGAATGCTCCAGACGCCCCCAAAAAACGGCGAACACCTAGACACCCCGTAAGAAAAAAAACAAAGGGCCCCCCCGACAACTCTCCAGAAGGTCCAGACAAATCGCTACTGGGCTCATTTTCATCCTCCTTCAGGCCGCATGGAGCTGTTTCAGATGCCTTTTCCACCTCTTTTCGAGCCACATGCACCAGAACACCCCAACAAGCAAAACATAATAAAACACATAGGATGTCGATGCTTTCGACCTTCTCGCACTTCTCCTTGCGCCTCTCTCGGAGCTACCATGCATCTCCGCTGGCTCGTGCGGCCATCTTAGAACCCGGGCATGCTCTCTACGACCGTCCTGACAGCCTCTCGGCTTGGAACCGTATTTCGCCCATCTGGGGCGCCCCCTCAGAGCCTCCAGGGGTTCTTCCAGGATCCGCAAACGAACCCCGAATGATTTTTTGTCCCTTCCTTCCTGTTTTCGTCGTTCACCCCAGGTCGCCGCACTTGACCCATTCTGGCCCCTTTTTGGGCCACTCCAGAGGTCCCCCTGGGACGAACCCGATGATTTTTGTTAAAGCTTCTCCATCCTCTCTGCAGCTGTCGCTTTCTGGGACGAACCGACGGTGTTTGTTCAGTTCCTCCAGCCTCTCTGCGGCCGTCTGCGGCGGATAGGAAATCTTCTGGAACAACTTCCACAACATCTCCTATTCGCGCGCGCGGAGCGGCCGCCGCTCCCACAGTGTCCAGGATCCAAAAATGGTGGGGCGGCGGTGTCTGCCCCCTCAGGGGCGTTCATTTCAATAACTTCTCCCTGTCGCACCCCGAGGCCGGTCGTAAGGGCGGGCCGGGCGTTTCACCTGAGACTTCCTCACGATTTAGGACTCTGAAGCTTAAATATTGGCAACAGTTTCACGCATGGAGGGCGGATAGTTTTCAAAATGTGGCTCTCACCTTAACGCCGCGCACATTCGAGTTAAAAGTTTTCAAGAGGTTCATGGATTGGGGGCGTGTGGTCTTCAAAATGTGGCTCTCGCCTGAGCTCCGCGCACATTCGGTTCCAACCATTTGCAAGTTTTTCACGGATTGAGGGCGGCTCGTTTTCAAAATGTGGCTCTCGCCTGATCGCCACGCACATTCCTTCTTAAACATTGCAAGAGTTTCACTGACTCCCATGGTCAATGTACCAGAAAAAAGGTTTGGAAATATTCCGGATTAAAAGGGTGCAACAACCACGTTGATTCGCGGTTTTGAAGTCCCAAGAGTGGCTTTCTGGCGCGATTCAGGATCGTCAAGACGCAACAGTCAGGTTGATCCGTGGCGTTGGTGTCCCGAGAACCATGTTTTGGCATGTTTCAGGGTCTTCAAACGGTTGTCTTGCAAACGATGCAGTTCCCTCAGTGGAAATGAACCCCTGTATGGGGTCTATGAAGAGGTAGCTTGGAGGGAGGCATTGATGACTCTTTGGTTTACACTGTGGTCCTCCTCCTCCTCATCCTCCTTCTCCGACACTCATCCCCCCCCCTTGCACCCCCGCCTCCTGCTCCTCCTCCTCGCCTTCCTCGCCACGTTACTCCTCCCTTCTTCTGGACCAGGGCTGCCCACCCCTTCCTCCGAACGACGCCGAGTTCACTTCACCTGGCTTCAGGTCGGGCCTGTCCCCCTACAGGGGGATTTCAGGCGAAATATTAAAAAAAGTCCAAAAATACGCCAGAATGATCGAAAATACTCAAAAAATCGTCCCCTGACTATTTTTTGCCCATGTAGAGGGACAAGCCCGACTTAACCCTGGCCGGAGCAAGGGGGAAGCGCCGCACGGCGGGACCCTGCGGGAATGGGGGCTCGGACCGCCCTCGGAGGCAGCGCGCGCAGCGGCCAGCGAACCGCAGCCCGGGGCGCCGCCGCCGCGCAGGAGGAGGAGGCGGAGGAGGAGGAGGCGGAGGAGGAGGAGCCACTGCGCCCACAACAAGAAGTTGTCCGAACCCCGACCTGCATGTGCAGAGCAGCGGGAAGGGGAGCACGGCGAGCGCGGTCTCCTTGAAGGCGTGGTTCTGCTCCGGGTCCAGCAGCTCCAGCATCGCGCCCGACGGGTTGAAGTGGGAGTTCCGCGTGAGCTTGTCGATCTCGGGGCGCCGCGCGCCGAGCGCGGGGGGGGAGGGAGGGAGGGGAGCCTCTGGCAGGAGCTCCAGCGCGTCACGGGCCACTGCATGCAGCGGGGTCCCAAGGACAAGAGACGTCGGTTCGGCTTTCGCTGTAAACTAGGGCATTCGAGAGCCCCTGCAGACCCTGCAGATGGCTGGATGCGAGAGAACCCGTGCCCAGGAAGGGGGACAATTTCAGAGTGCATTGTTCCCCTCCCGATCCCTGCCTCGACCTGTCCTCCCCCCCCGAGTCGTTGGCAAAACTGTGCACCAGCCTCATTATCTCATTTGACTGAACGGTCACCTGTGGTGTACTAAGCGTGCTCGACTGGGTGGCTGCACGGCTGCACGAGCACGGTGGGGGGGGGGGAAAGCTCTACCAACTCCCTATCCCTTGCCCAGAGGGTATGGCTTCAGACAGTGCAGGGGAGGTGTTGCGTAGGTTCTCAAATTGTCAATCCCCGAAGGTGTTGGCCAAAGTTGTGCTCTCGGGGTGCCCGGTATAAACCGTCAGCTCCCCGCCCAAGGAGGCACGCCCGCCCTCGCAGGTACAAAAGGCTCGGTCACAAGGGCCGCGGCGTGTCTTGCTGCTGCTACTGCTGCTGCAGCGACTGGGACCCCTCGGTGGGCCGATCTTCCCCTCCTCCTCCTCCTCCTCCTCCTCCTCCTCCTCCTCCTCCTCCTCCTCCTCCTCCTTCCCTCCGCCTCCTCCTCCTCCTCCTCCTCCTCCTCCTCCCCCCTCCTCCTTCTGTGCCCCCCTCCTGCTTTGTTTGCGCCCCCCCTCGGAAGCGGAGGGTTTGGAGGACGGGGGGGGAGCCTGCAACCTCTGTTTTAGCGCGCACCGAGCGGGCGCGGCGTCACGGAGGTAAGGCGCGGCCCGAAGGCTGCGAGGAGGAATGGCTGAGGAAACTCGTCATCCAGGCGCTGCCCAGCAGCATGCTGGAAGACACGGGCGACGCCCATTCGGTAATATCATATGCCAATGTGCATATATTCAACCATGCGCGCATGCCATTTGTATGTGTGCATAACTAGACCCATACGTATAGACTTCCGTCTGCATGTGTACACCTCGGTATACACACATGCACATACGTATGCAAACAAACATGTTGGGCACATACGGTGAGCAGAGTGCCAGTCAGAGCAGCAGTGGCAGAGATGAAGCGGGAGGGGGAGGGGGAGGAGGAGGAGGAAACGGAGGAGGAGGAGGAGGAGGAGGAGGAGGAGGAGGAGGAGGAATAATCATGATAACGCGGCATAGAGGCACGCTGCGTCCCTCGTTTCTCTAGAGTCCGTGGCGGGGCAGGCCTGCACAGGCCCTCGACATGAAATAGAACATAAGCACACTGTAAGTGCGGATGCGTCGGATCAGCGAACAACTTCGGCAAGTGTACACGGCAGCCAGCCGAGGCTGGTTAAATCAGGAAGAAGCAAGAGGGCCTAGACAGGCCCCAACAGACATAGATCAGGCCCTGGGGAACCATCGCGCCGACAAATCGCGGTGCAACGCGTTACACGGGTGCGGATGTACTAGCTGGCTGCATATACACACAAGAAAGCGACAAGGCGGCAGCAGCAACCTCACGCCTGGGAGTGGCCCAGGCACACGGAGTCAAACAGCAGGTGGGTGGCGGCCAGCACGGTGCCGTACACGAGTAGGGCGCGGACGATGATGCGCAGGGGGCGTGGGGAGAGTACATACTGCCACAGTCCCAGCAGACCGTCTCACGTCCACCACCACAAGCAAGTAAAGTGTACGTGTGATTACGCAGTCGGCCGTCGTGACGAAACACCAATCGTCGGTAACATCGGTAAAAGCGTGCAAAGATCATGTCAAGGTGCGTCTCACTCGGGCAGACTATGTTACGGCATTTCTGCCATGGCCCCTGCAGGTGCGGCCCCTGCCGCGCGACGCCCGCCCACCTCGGTCAAAGCTCAAATAAACAGTCGGCGTGAACGCGTGCCCGAAGGCAACGAGCGCGGGGCGGAGTCGGCTGTCTGGATCTTCTCCTGCGCCGTCTGATCGCTCTTGATGCAAAGGTGAACTTTCTTCTGTGTTCTTCTTGCCCTGATCGTAACACTTAGTGTTGCGGAAAAGTCGTACTCGACCCCACGCCTCCTCCAACGTCACCTTGCAAAAAAACATATTCCTTGCACCATAGCACCGGTTCTTCGTAGGTCTTGGCCCACACGATGGCGCCATACCTCAACCGGTTTCTGAACCTCCATCCTGCACTCGTGGGGCGCCAAAGCCTCCCCCATGAGGGTGCAAGGCGTGGGAACGCGCGTTGTGCGCCGATTCTGCAGCACATTGGCATCAGCATACGTGACACGTTCAGGGGGTACTTGTCCAATAATTCATGCGAACAACAATCATATGCGTAAGCAGCCCAACGGGCCAGAGGCGTGCTAAGATCTCTGGTAACTGCTAAATAATACTTCTAGTTCGCGCGCGCGGGGCGGCCCCTGGGGGTCCCCCGGCGAAAAATACCCCGGGCGATCCCCGGCAGGGTCGGATCAGAGATGGTTTTGAGGGTTTTTTTTCGACACCCCTCACGAGGATCGTGGCCTCCGAGGGGGGTGCACTCGACTACCCCGCCCCAAGAGGCCCCCAAGAGCCACCCAAGAGGCCCAAGGGGGGCCCAAGACGCCGCCAAGGAGCCCTAAGAGACCCCCAAGAGGCCCCCAAGAGGCCCCTAGGAGGCCCCAAAGAGGCCCCCAAGAGGCTTCAAAGAGGCCCCATATGGAGCGCTCGAGGGCCGGCGGAATGAGCGAAGCGATTAAATAATTCATGCGAACAACAACCATATGGGACACCATGGTGGGACAGCTCGTCGACGCGATGCCATTTTCAGCGCCGCAATGGCGTGATCACGAGCCCGTTTAATATTGCACGTGTCAAGGCTGGTGATCCCCATTGGTGGTGTCGCACCTCGTCGAGCTTCCAACTCAGCAGGGTTGATCGCCATAGCCATCGCCACGGAATACGTATTGACTACCTACCAGACCACCCCAACCCAACCCGAAGACCCGAATTTCGGGTTGGGGGGGGTAAGGGTTCCACATGCGTTTTTTCAATGTTTCCCAACCCCCCCCACTGGAAATCGAGGGTAAATCTGAGCCTTCGGGTTGGGTTGGGGTGGTTTGGTGGGTGGTGACGTATTCCATCGCACACACCGTGGGGACACAAGGGGAGAGACAATTCCACAAGGAGCAGCAACGGAGCATGGCCCAACAAATAGCCACACCCGAAGTATAACAGAAGCCGCCGTGCAAGTCTCATCATCGTCACACACTTCGTCACACGTACTCGTAGTCCAGCAGGGGTAGCAAAGGGAACACTCCAAGAAGTCGCCTTCTGTAAGCCATAATAGGTCGGTACCATGTGCACAAACAACGCAAAGCAACACAAATTAATGGCATTGTAATACTCCGCGTGGCGCGCAGCCCGCGTATCCCATTCTGTGTTGTACAAATGGTCCAATAGCAGTGTGTTCAACAGCATCGTTGGCGCTGAGAGAGTCATTTCAGCCCGTTTAGAAAGGAGGGGTCGAGCGGCACGGGGGAACAGGAAGTTCTTCGTTCAGCCACGTCAAAAGTGTGTTTCGGTTTTTCCCAAGCGCTAAATGCCCGCGCCGTGACGTCGAGGATGGCATTCAGCACCAGCATCAGCATCAGCACCAGCATCAGCACCATCATCGCCGTGACGCGAACACGTCCGCCTCGACCAGCAGCCGCGGGGAGCAGAACCGACATTTGAAATATCGTACCAAGGATAACATGCCTGGTAGGCAAGCCAGTCGACACACCAGCACTACGATTCGTAAGAGGTCCACGGCCTGATCCAAAGTGTATGAAGCGGTGTGTTCCCTGGGTCTGGGACCATGTAGAAGACGTCGCAGTAGCTTTTAGTATTGTCCCAGTGCGCGCAATGAAAGCCGCACCGCGCACAGAAGTAGAAATCTCTGCCGATATGCGTGTCTGCACCAGACAGCAGGGGCTGCAGCCGATGAACGTACTGTGCATGTCCGTGCAGGCGTCATCACCGCACACACCTGGCGGCGCACGGCCCTCCTGCCCCCATCAGGATCGCAATACGATGTACGTTACCCAGACATGTGTGAGGGGGGCTCTTCTGTATTTCATGAGGTTATGAAATGGGCTGGAGGAGGAGGAGGAGAAGGAAGAGGAGCTAATCCTCCTCGTCCCCCTCCTCCTCATCCACATAATGATACCACCACCACCATAATCATCACCATCATCACCATCACCATCACCATGACTATCATCACCAACACCGTCACCATCACCAACACCACCACCATAATCATCATGATTGCCACCGCGATCATGATCTTCATCATCATCATCACCATCATCACGATCAGCATCACCACCGAAATCATCACCGCCACCACCACCATCACCACAATCATCATCATCACCACCACCATCACCACCACCATCATCATCAGCATCACTTTCACCATCAGCATCATCATCAGCACCACCATCATCATCAGCAACACCATCATCAGCACCACACTCATCACCATCACCATCACCATCACTAGCACCTTCACCATCACAATCACCATCATCGCCATCACCATCGCCACCACCATCATCACCACCACCATCACCACAACCATCATCATCAACACCATCACCATCACCATCACCATCATCATCAGCATCCCCATCATCATCATCATCATCATCATCACCATCAGCGTCATCATCATCATCATCATCATCATCATCATCCTGCTCATCATTACCATAACCATAACCATCGCCATCAGCATCAGCATCATCAGCATCATCAGCATCATCAGCATCATCAGCATCATCAGCATCATCAGCACCATCACCATCACCATCACCATCACCATCACCATCACCATCACCATCATCACCATCACCATCATCACAACCATCATCATCATCACCAGCACCCTCACCAGCATCATCACCATCACCACCAACATCACCATTATCATCACCAGCGCCACCATCATAATGATCACCATCATCATCGTCATCATCATTATCATGTTCATCCTCACCAGCATTATCATTACCACGATCATCATCAGCATCACCATCTTCATCAACATCTTCACCATCATCGGCATGGTCATCATCATCATCATCATCAGCAGCAGCATCATCACCATGATCATCAGCAGCATCATCATTACAACCATCAGCATCAACATCAGCATCAACATCATCATCAGCATCATCATCACCATCATGTTAATCATCACCATCAGCATAAACGTCAACATCAACATCATTATTCTTATCATCATCAATATCACTGTCATTACCATCATCGCTATCGTCATCAGCATCGTCATCATCATCACCATCATCCTCATAAAGGTCATCATTATGGCCATTACCATCATCATCATCATCATTATTATCAGCATCATGACCATCAGCATCACACTCATCGTCATCAGCATCATCATCACGATCATGGTCATCATCAGCAACATTGTCACCACTGCCATCAATCATCACCATTCCCATCACCATCATCCTCATCGGCATCATCAACATCAGCATCAACATCAACATGAAAATCGTCAAAAGCATAATCATAATCAGCATCAGCATCATCATCAACATCACCATCATGGTCATCATCGTTATCATCACCACCACCACCACCATCACCATCGCCATCACCATCACGAGCACCATCATCACCACCACCAACATAATTACCATTACCACTATTACCATCATCACCACCACATCACCACATCACCATCATCATCACCATCATCACAATAATAACCATCATAATCATTATAATCACCGTGATCATCTGCAACAGCATCATCACCATGGTCATCAGCATCATCATCATCATCAACAGCATGGTCACCATTAAGAGCAGCAGCATCATCACCATCATCACCACCATAATCATCATCAGCATCATCATCAACATCAACATCAACATCAACGTCAACATCATTAGCAACAGAATCATCGTCGTCGCCATCATCAGCATGAAACACTAACATCATCATCACAATCATCATCATCAGCATCATCATCAACATCACCATTATGGTCATCATCATGGTAGTTAACATGGTCATGGTCAGCACCATCACGATCATCAGCATCTTTACCATCATCATCAGCAACATCTTCGTCATCCTATTCGTCACCGTCATCATCGTCATCATGATCATCAGCACCATGGTCAGTATCAGCATCATGATCATCAGTAATACCATTGTCATCATCATCATCAGCATCATCAACACCATCATCATCATCAGCATCATCGTTATCGTCATCACCGTCATCATCATCACCACCATCATCAGCATCATCACCATCACCATTCACCACCACCATCATCATCACCACCACCACAACCACCATCATCAGTATCACCATCAGCATCGTCATCATCATCATCATCACCGCCATCACTACCACCACCGCCATTACCATCATCACCAACGACATCCTCATCCTCATCCTCTTCCTCATCCTCTTCCTCATCTTATTTACCATCCTCATCCTCATCCTCACCTGCATCGGCATCATCATCATCAATCATCAGCATCAGCATCAGCGTCAGCATCATCATCATCATCATCATCATCATCATCATCATCTTCACCATCGGCATCATCATCGTCATCATGTTTATCACCGTCATCATCAGCAGGATCGTCATCTGCATCACTGACATTCTAATCAACATCATCATCAACATCATCATCGTTGGTGTCGTCATCATCACACAACCACTTTCATCATCATCATCAACATAACCACCATCACCATCACCACCGCCATTATCATCATCTTCATCATGAACAACAGCCTCAGTCTCATCCTCATCCTCATCCTCATCCTCATCAGCATCCTCATCCTCACCCTCATCATGACCATAATCATCATCAATATCATCACCATCATAATCATCATCATCATCATCAACATCATCCTCATGATCAGCATCATCAACAAACACATGAACATCAACATCATCATCACCAACATCAGTATCAACATCATCGTCAACATCAACATCAACATCAACAGCATCATCATCGTCATCATCCTCATTATCAACATCAGCGCCTCCATCGTCATCATCAGGATCATCATCACCATCATCGTCATGGTCATCATCATGGTCGTTATCACTGTCATCATCATCACCACCATCAACATCATCGTTACCATCATCGTCACCATTTTCATTACCGGCATCATCATCACCATCGTCATCAGCATCATGGTCGTTAAGATCATCATCAGCATCATCATCACTACCAGCATCATCATCACCACCACCACCGTCATCATCATCACCATCGTCATCAACATCATCATCATCACCGCCATCACCACCACAACCGCCATCTTCATCAACATCATCATCATAATCATCAACAACATCATCATACTCATCCTCATCCTCATCCTCATCTTCACTCTCATCTTCATCATCATCACCATCATCATCGTCATCTCTAGCATCGTCATCATCGTCATCGTCATCGTGTTCATCCCCGTCATCAGCATCATCATCATCGACATCATCATCATGGTCATTATCGTCACCAGCTTCATCATCAGCATCATCTTAATTAGTCACCATCAGCATCGTTATCGTTTTCAGCATCATGGACCCCATCATTAGCATCATCACCATCACAATCATCATCATCACCAACACCATCATCATCACCATCATAATCACCACCAGCATCACCATCGCCATCATCATCGTCATCATCATAACCACCATCACTACCACCATCACCATCATCATCAAAGACAACAGCCTCATCCTCATTGTCTTCCTCACCATCAACATCATCATCACCATCATCACCATCGCCGTTATCGTCATCATCATTACCACCATCATCATCATCATCATCATCATCATCATCATCATCACCATCAGCATCATCATCAACATCAACATCAACATCAACATCAACAACAACATCACCATGATCATCAGCCTCAGCATCATCATCAGCACCATCATCAGCATCATCATTATCACCACCATCAACATCACCACCATCATCTCGCGCCTGCTGGACACCCTGGCCCGAACGCTTGCAGGGTGAGCTCCTCTGCAGGAGCCCAGCTGCCCACCCCTGCGGCAGGAGAAGTCGAGCGGCACGGGCGCGCCCCGTCAAGCAGGATCACGAAGGGAGGAGGAGGAGGAGGAGGAGGAGGAGGAGGAGGATTAGGAGGAGGATGGGAGGGGGGAGTAGGAGAGGAAGAGGAGAGGAGGAGGGGAGGAGGACGGACAAGAGAGGAAGGGAGAAGGAAAGGAGGAAGGAGGAGGAAAAGAGGAGGAGGAGGAGGAGGAGGGGGACAGGGAGGAGGGGAGGAGAGGAGGAGGAGGAGAGAGGATGAGAGGAGGAAGGAGGTAGGAGGAGGAGGAGAGGGGGACAGGTGGGGAGGAGGAGGAGGAGGAGGAGGAGGAGGAGCAGGAGGAGGAGGAGGAGGACTGACGCTACGGGCCGTGGCGCCCAGCAGCCTGCCTAAGAAAGGAAGAAGAGGAGGACGCCTCGTCGAGCAGGATCACGGGATTGTTCACCTTCAGGGTGCTCAGCGCCTGCTGGCGGCTGACCCGCCGGCGAGGGGCACCACCGCCACTGGGTCCGCCGGGGGGGGGGGGCAGCGGCAGCGGGCAGCGGGCAGCGGGTGCCACGTGCGACGGCGGCGCGCGTGGTTAATCAGGGAGGCACACGTACGACGAAGACCAGGAGGGGGAGGGGAGGAGGGGAGCGGGGTGGGAAGAGGCAGAGGGGAGGGGCGGATCGGGGAGAGGATAGGAGGATAGGATGATAAAAGGGTAGGAGGACAGGAGGATCGGGGAGAGGACAGCAGGATCGGGGAGTGACACGCCGCAGCCTGGGTCGATCGCGCAGTTCCAAGGGGGGCCCTTGTGAGGCCCCGAAGGTATGACACCCCGAGAGCATGTTAAAGACCTCCTCCTCCTCCTCCTTCTCCCTCCTCCTCCTCTCACCCCTCCTCGGGGGGGGGGGGGCACGGGAGCAGGAGGGCGGAGGGCGCCGACGGGAAGGACGGGGCGAGAGGCTGGAGGGAGGACCCTGAGAGCCGACGTTGCACAAAAAATGCAACATCGTAAGAAATCACGCCCAGAACCCTAGACCCCATCTTTCTGCGTCATTTCTCGAGCCGAAGCGATATGTGAGGCCCCCGGGCCCTGAGAAAAGACGAGAACGCCTGGCTCCCAAAAACTGAGGCGCCAGGATCTCAAGGGACGGTGGGCAAAGGCGGAGGAGCCAGGCGACAGCGAAGGAGGTCCGCCGCCCGCCTCGGAGCCCCCAGCGAGCGCGCGAGTGGAGCCAAGAATTCTGCCCGAGGCCGTGCGGGGGCCACCCTGGCTGGCTTCTTGCGTCCGGCGTGTGCCGATCTGGCGTCGGTTGGCATCGATTGAGCGTCGGCCAGCGTCGATTCACGAGATCCAATCCTAACAGTGTCCAAGACGGCTCACGAGGCCCCCAAGATCGGTCCAAGACGGCCCAAGAAGCCCCCAAGAAAGCCACAAGACGGCCGGAGGGTCCTAAAACGGCCCAAGAGGCGCCCAAGATGGCCCAAGAGATCCCCAACAGGGCCCTACGAGAAATCACTCGAACTGAGATTTCGAGCCCTCCACCCCAAGGGGACCCCCGAGACTGCCAGCAGGCGCCCAAGAAACTCCCAAGAGGCCCGAAGAGGCCCCCAAAAGGCCCAAAAGAGGCCCCAGGAGGGTTCCCAAGAGGCCTCACCCGTAGACTTCATCCCTCTTCGGGGGGTTCGGCAGGAATGGCGTAAAGAGCGCGGTCATGAGGAACCTTATAACGAACGAGGACCCCTTTTTTTCAATAAGTGAAACTTCGATTTCCCATGGAACACCTAAGGAACACCGATGACAAACTGCAAAACAATTCAGAGGAACACTGAGCCCCTCCCCAACACAAAGGGTTCCTTCTTCAGCGGCCCGACTGTAGGGTGAGGTCGGGCATCTAGTCCAAAACTAATCAAAACTGGTCAAAAACAGTCAAAACATCGCCCCCTGACCATGTTTTCTACTGTTTTTGAATGTTCCTCCTGTAGAGGGACGTACACGACTTGACTGTACAGTCAGCCTGTATAATAAGGATGCGCTCTGAGGATGCAAGGGCCTTAGACGCCCATCTCGAAGCTGCGAGCGGGGAGCGACCAAAAGTGGCAAATGGTGGACCGAGAAGGCAAGGATGCAAGGGTGCCCTTGGGAAGGCTGCCCATCCTTACTACGCGGGTGGACTGTAGGGCGTCGCCGTCGTCGCAGCAGCAGGCGGTGGCGGTCGCGAGGGCGCAAAGCGGCCTGCATGATGGAGCCAGGCATGCTCCCGATGTAGGTCCGCCGGTGGCCTCGCAGCTCGGCCTCCCGACCGGTGAGCAGGGCGAGGAGGGGGAAACAGGCAAGGACCGACCACGACGATGTCTGAAACGAAGAGACGCTTGCAGCACCGATCCTCCTGCATGCTCCATGTCATCCTCCTCCTCTTTATCCTCCTCCTCCTCCTCCTCCTCCTCCTCCTCCTCCTGCTCCTCCTCCTCCTACGCCTCCTCCTCCCCCTCCGTCCTCTGCACCCCTCACCCCTCCCCCCCTCCGCCCTCCCCCTCCCCCTCCCCGCCCCACCCTCCTCCCCCTCCTCCTCCATCCTCCTCCTCGCTCCCCCACCTCCTCCTCCTCCTCCTCCCCTCCTCCACCACCTCCTCCTCCACCACTCCTCCACCTCCTCCTCCACCTCCTCCTCCTCCTCCTCCTCCTGCCTCCACCTCCTCCTCTCTCTCCTCCTCCTCCTACCTCCTCCCACCTCCTCCTCCACCACCTCCTCCTCCTCCTCCTCCTCCTCCTCCTCCTCCTCCTCCTCCTCCCCTCCTCCTCCACCTCCTCCTCCTCCTCCCACCTCCTCCTCCTCCCCTCCTCCCCTCCTCCTCCTCCTCCTCCTCCTCCTCGCTCCCACCTCCTCCTCCTCCTCCTCCTCCTCCTCCTCTCCTCCTCCTCCTACTGCCACCTACTCCACCTCCTCCTCACCTCCTAACCACCACCCCTCCTCCTCCTCATCTCCTCCTCCTCCTCCTCCTCCTTCCTCCTCCTCCACCCTCCTCCCTCCTCTCCTCCTCCTCCTCCTCCTCCTCCTCCACCCCCTTTTCCTCCTCCCCTTTCTCCTACCCCTCCTCCTCCCTCCCCTCCTCCTCCTCCTCCTCCTCCTCCTCCTCCACCTCCTCCACCTCCCCCTCACCCCTCCTCCTCCTCCTCCTACTCTCCTTCCCCCTCCTCCTCTTCCTCCTCCTCCTCCTCCCTCCTCCCGCTTCCTGCTCCTCCTCCTCCTCCTCCTCCTCCTCCTCCCCTCATCCTCCTCCTCCTCCTCCACCACCTCCTCCTCCTCCTCCTCACTCCTCCTCTCCTCCTCCTCCTCCTCACACCTCCCCTCCGGCCCCTCCTCATCCTCCTCCTCCACCTCCTCCTCCTCCTCCTCCACCCTCCTCCTCACTCCCCCTCGTCCGTCCCTCCTCCTCCTCCTCCTCCTCCTCTCCTCCTCCTCCTCCTCCTCCTCCTCCTCCAGCTCCTCCTGCAAATACAAAGAAAAGTCGGTGCACCTAGCCTCCACTATGGACTTCGCCACGCAGTAGACGCCCCAGGACACTATGGATACCTCCACGCAGACGACGACCCGGTAGCCCAGCTGCACGAGCCCCGCCCCGGCGCAAGCTCCCCGGCTAGGCCGCTCCTGCCGCTCGCAGCTCGGCCGCCCTGCCGGCGCCGTCAGCGCCGAGGGCGGTGCGGAGCTGCCGGGCGGTGGCCCTGTGGAGGGCCACGCTGAGCTCCCGGCCCCAGCGGCTCGCCAGCGCGCTCGCGGCGGCCGGCGCGGCTTCCTCGCCCAGGAGGGCCGCCTCCCCGCGGGCGAGCTCCCGGAGGTGCTGGAGGGCGGCGCGCCCGTGCCGGCCGCCCGTCTTCAGGGCGAGGGGCAGCATGCCCCATGGCGCGCGGCCAGGCGGGTAGCGCCGGTGCTTGTCGGCTTCCGCCTCAGCGTTCACCGCGCCGTCGCGCCCTGCCGCGGCGGCAAGGGCGCGCTCGTCACCCGGCACGCAGTAGCGTACGGTGACGTCGAGGAACAGGCGGGGCCGGTCCGCCCGCTGAACCTCGAGGTCGAGGATCGCCTCCTCGCGCTCCGCCTGCAGCGCGGTCCCGCAGGTGCCGCAGGGCGCCGCCGGCTGCTCCGGCGCGTGGCCGCCAGTGTCGCAGGTCGGGCAGCGCCAGCGCCAGCGGTCCCAAGCTGGGACGTGCGTCTGGTGCTCCACCCGGAAGCCGCACTCCTCCTCCTCCTCCTCCTCCTCCTCCTCCTCCTCCTCCTCCTCCTCCTCCTCCTCTCATTTCTCCTCCATTTCCTCCTCCATCTCCTCCTCCATATCCTCCTCCATCTCCTCCTCCATCTCCTCCTCCCAACTCCTCCTCCGATCTCCTCCTCCACCTACCTCCTTCCACCTCCTCCCTCCTCCTCCTCCTCCTCCTCCTCCTCCTCCCCTACTCCCTCACCTCCTCCTTCCTCCGCTCCTCCTCCTCTCCTCCTCCTCCTCCTCCACCTCCAACCACTCCTCCTCCTCCACCTCCCGTCTTCTTTCACCTTCTTCACCTCCTAACCTCCCACCACCTCATTCCTCCACCTCCTCGTCCTCCTCCTCTGTCCTCCTCCTCCTCCACCTCCTCCTCCTCCTCCTCCTCCTCCCGATCCTCCCGCGTCCTGCGCGTATCCCACCCCCTCCTCCCTCTCCTCCTCCTCCTCCCCCTCCTCCTCCAAGGCGTTGTGGTCCGAGGCGCCCCATTTTGGGCTAGCGGCCCGACAGACCACGACCCCAGCCCCGCGGGGCGACTTCTCCCTTCTTGCCCAAGGAGCGGGCACGACGGCCGCGATCGGCGGGGCTTCTGCCACGGCAGGGCGTTCCCGCTCACCGGTGTGGCACCGCAGGGCGCGGCGCCAGCGGGCGGCCTCCAGGGCACGGCTGCAGCGCGAGAGGGAAGAGGGACATCGTACGCTTGCAGGACCACCACGGCAGCGCACCTCCCAGGATGCCTGGCAAGCAGCAGCGAGGTGCAGCTTCGCCGTGGTCCACCTGCAAGAGCTGCGGTGCGCACGAGTGGAACGCAGTCCTGCAGAAGCAGGCCTGCAAGTGCAGCCGCTGCGGAGTGAAGGTCGACCTCTACACCGCCAAGGGGAGCAACTCCAAGGAGGGCAAGGCGGGCAAGGTTCCTGTCGTTGGAAAGGGGCCCAGCGACTCAGTCTCGGCAGAGGACAAGGCCATCCAGACCCTGGAGGCCGCTCTCAGGTGCACTGAGGACCCCGCACTCCGCAGGATGATCCAGTCGCAGATTGACGACCTCAGGCACAAGCGGGCTCAGCAGTCCGCTGTGCCTCCAGAGGACGCACTGCGGCTGGCCGACGGCGCCGTCCGCGACGCCTCCGCCAAGCACGACCAGGCCATGGCGCGGCTTCTCCAAGTGTCGTGAGGCCTTGGAGGAGGCGCAGGAGAAGGAGCGCCTGGCCGCACTCGTTCTCGCCCAAGCCGAGGACACGAAGAAGCTCGCTGCGCAGGCCCTCGCCGCCAAGCTGGGCGTCACTGTCCAGGAGGGTGAAGGCTGCGCCGAGAGCAGGACCCTTTTTCAGATTACATGGGACGAGGATTTCTTCCGCAATCTCGACAGCATGGAGGCCGAGCAGTCTGAAGTTCAGGAGCTTCGCAAGTTGGAGTCCGACCTCAAAGCAGTGAAGGACCAGCTTGCCACCAAGAACACGCAGGTGGGCGACTGGTTGCAGCGGGCCAAGGAGCTCCAGAGCCAGCTCACCGACAGGATGGCCAAGAAGCGCAAGGGCGACAGTGGCACCCCAACAGTCGGTGCAGCAGGTGGTGGTGCTCAGGCGGCTGCAGCCGCTGGCGCTCCACCTACCGCCACCGCGGCAGCGGGCGCGGCCGCAGGCAGCGCGGCGGCGGCCGCCCCCCCAGCCGCCGCCCCCGCCTCGGCCGACCCCGAGGCAGCCAGAGTCGCTCGGGAGGCGCGCGAGGCCCGCATCCAGCAGGCCGCGGCCAAGATCAGCGCTTCCAAGGCTGCCGCCACGCAGGCGTCCGAGGCGGCCAAGAAGGAGGCGGCTGGCGCAGGGGCGGCGGCCACTGGTGGCGGCAAGTGACGAATGGGCAGGAGCGGCGGCGCGGGTGAGCAGGCAGCCGCGCCGACGACCGCTCGGGGAGAGTCTGCGTTGCAGACTGACCTGCCTTGGGGGACTGAGGTCGCCGCGACCTCCAAGAGCCAGAGTGACACATTCATATTTGTCTCTAATGTCACTGCCATGGGGAAGCAGGCCTGGGACTACGTGACTGGGCCCGCTTCGCCTCCGTATCACTACTTCCTGCTAGTTGAGACTCACATCGAGTCCGCCAGCGACTTGCAGCATTGGAAGGGCCAGGCACGCAAGTCGCATCTCAAGTTGATAGACAATCCAGCTCGCGGGACGGGCCGCGAGCAGTCGGAGGCCACCAAGGACAGGGCCAACGAGGGCGGCGAGTGGATCCTTGGGAGGCAGCATTTACAGTTCCACAGGGTCCATGACACCGACTCCGTGTGCCGCGACCTCAAGGCCGAAGGCAGCGCCGCCCTGGATGGGTTCACGGTGGCGATCCTCAACCAGCAAGGGTATTCCATCGTGCTGATCGCCTTCTACGGCTACTGCTCCGAGGGCCTCCACGGCAGGAGCTTGGTGCGTTTCGCCGAGCTGGGGGCCCTCGTCTCTCAGCTGAAGCTGCCGTGGATTTGCATAGGCGACTTCAACCTCCAACCGTCTGTCCTGGCCGACGCTGGATTTTTGGATCGCGTGGGTGCCAATGTCCTCGCAGCTGCCGACACGGAGTACACCTGCGTGGGCGGCATGGGCAAGGGCAACACGCTGGACTACGTCATGGCCAGTTATTCGGCGTTGCCGTATATCGCGGGTTTGAGCGCAGTTTTGTCAGTACCTTGGCGACCGCACTGCGGGCTTCAACTTCGGCTGAGAAGTTCGGGGTCTCAACTGCTGTGTCGGCAGCTGGTGCTTGCAACTCAACTCCCACAAGTACCTCGACCTACCACCCAGCCGCAAGAGGGTTCCAAGTCGTCTTTGGCCCGAGGGGAGCGCATCTTGGCACGACGGGCTGCTCGGGACAGGATGGCGACGGCGACGGATGAGATGTTCGGAGACCTTTGCTCTGCTGGAGGTGCGACGGCGTCTACATCGGCGACGACTTCTTCCTCTGAGGGCGAGCCTAGTGCGCAGGCCAATTCTTTTGCCCCCGACTGGCACGAGTCGGACGGTGAGGACGACTACGTGCCCCCAGGTTTCTTTGGACCCGAGG